AGAAACAAGTGGGTAGTTCTCTAAATTAGGGTCCCTTTTTAGGTCCCCAATATAGTACGGCACCCTTGTAAAGAGGACCCGAAAAGAGACCCGAATTTAGAGAACTACCCACGTATAGACGTGTATTTCCTAATCGCTCCTTTAAACCACGATTAAGGTATGGTACTCCAAAACCCACCCAAAACCCTGAACCCTAAACCCTTACTTCCCCCAATAAGCCAGGACAATCAAAGGTTAAACTTTCGGATTATTACTCAATAAAAAGAACCCAAAAGAAGTTTAAAGGTTGGGTATTGGGGAACTAAGAACCCCAAAAACCCCTCACTAAACCCTAAAACCCTAAACCCTAAAACCCTAAACCCGAAACCCTAGGCCCTAAACTCCCTCCCAAAAAAAAAAGGAGCCAGGCAACATCTTCCCGAGGCTTCTCTGCATCTCCCCGGAGGCGGCCTTGCCAAGACCATATCTGGGGGGGAGGTTTAGGGGTTTAGGGTTTAGGGCTTAGGGCTTATAGGGTTTAAGGTTTAGGAATTTAGGGTTTAAGGCTTGCGGGTTTAGGAGTTTAGGGGTTTAGGGTTTACCTGTTTTGGGGTCGTTTGGGATCGTTTGCTTCGGGGCTTAGGCGGTTGAGGGTTTAGGGTTTGGGGGTTTGAGCTTTTAGGGGTTTTGGGTGCTAAGTTTCATAGATAAGGGCGTTTAGGGAAAAGTTGACTTTCCTAAACCCTAAACCCTGAACCGTTAAGGCTTGTCAAACGTCGCATCCGGTAAACGGCGCACTGATCCGAGCACCCGGAGACTCATGGCGCAACAAACACAAAGCAAGCATTGCAGGGTTTAGGGTTTAGGGTTCAGGCTTTAGGCTTTAGGCTTTAGGCTTTAGGCTTTAGGGTTCAGGGTTTAGGGTTTAGGGTTTAGGGTTTGGGGTTTAGGGTTACCCAGGGTTTAGGGTTTAGTTTAGGGTTTAGTGTGGAGCACAAAGATGTGATTAGTGATGATCGCACTTCTAGCACTTTTGGCAATCGTCGTACTGCTGTGCATTTCGAGAAAGCTCCACCTGTGTTCCTCTGATCCCGGCCAGGCAACGAAGTCTACCGAAGGCATTGTGGATCGTCAAGGAAAAGGCGCTCGATGTGTCGAGGCCGGCAGCTAGCATGTTGCGTTCCCTTAGAGTTTGTTACTGGTAGCGGAGCTTGTGTGCTCCAGTAGGACCGTAGTGAACCATGGCGAGTGATATTTCGGGGCCGCCGCCGGGCTTCGAAACTGACGACGTGGGCTCTCACGAGCCACCAGCAGGATTGCCTCCCCCTCCAAGCTTCGGAGGAGGCGACAGAGCAGAAGCCGACAGTGACGTGAAGTCTGGCAAACCAGATGACGACACAAGCCGTGAGTTTTTTGACAAGAGCGACATGGGTGCTCGAGGGCACTAGGCAAGCGAGGGCACTCGTCAAGAGTGGCAATGGGGCGAGCGCACAAGCCTGTCCGGGGAAGACAGCAAGGTGCGCGATGATGGTCGCTCAAACTGGAGTTCAACCGCCGCAGCCTCGGGTGGAAGTGAAAGCCACGATGAGGCTATGGAGCCTTGGGGAAGCCATCGATGGAGCGATGGCAGAGACGACAGGCATCGCGTACACGACCATGGAGGATTCCGAGGAGCTCCCTGGGCAGATGGTCACCGGGCCCCTGGCGGGCTAGATCTAGGCAGTTTCCAGTGGGTCCCGAAGGACGATGGCAGAGACCACCGGCATCACGTACACGACCGTGGAGGATTCCAAGGCGCTCCCTGGGCAGATGGTCGAGATAGTACCTCTAGGTTACATGATCAGGGTGATCTTCATCGTTGGTCGGATTCCTCTGGGGGTGGTTCAGATTCCGGGCTACGTTCTGAAGGATGGCAAAGCTACAATGGGTGGCAGCAAGATCATGCTTCACAGTCTGGGTGGGGCACGTGGCAGGGCTTTGAGGACCAAGGCAAAGGACCACGACCCTCTGAAAGGCTCACCGTCCCGACCTTCACGGCCGAGGACTCAGAGGACCTGGGCAACTCAGCGCGTTCGTACCTTCGGCAGATTGAGGTTTGGAAGCGTATTACAAGGTTGCCTCCGAGCCAGCTTGGGCTTGTTTTATACCAGCATTTGGGAGGCAAGGCTTGGATAGCTGCTGAAGAATTGTCGGTAGCACGTCTAAGCACCAACGAGGGCCTCGCCTACTACACCAGCTGGATATCTGCAAGATTCTTAGACCTCGAAGTTGCTCGTATAGGGCGTGCTTTCTCAGACTTCTTTCGGAAACTTCGTCGTCGCCCAGGGCAAACGGTACGAGAATATAATTCTGAATATGATCGTCTGCATGGCCGATTGCGCGAAGTGGGGTGTTCGCTACCTGAAGAGTGTGCGGCTTGGCTTTACATCGACCGCCTACAGCTCGATGAATCGCAAGAACTCAACCTGCTTGCGAGTGCTGGAAACCGCTACAACCTCCACCACCTCCAACATGCTGCTGTGCTCCACGACCGCGGCCAGAGGAAACCTTGGGAAGGGAACAGCACTCGACCTCGCAGGACGAACTTCGCCCACATGACGGACCACACCGCCGAGACGGACGAGGAGGACCCGTTTGAAGGCGAGGACGCGGTACCCGAGGACGTCGCCGAGGCCTTCATGACGTACCAGTCGGCAAAGGAGCGCTACAGAAATCAGCAGAGGAGCCGGGGAATGACCGGAGGCAGCAGTGGTGGCGACAAGGCACCCAAGGGCGATGGCCAACCTGGAGATCGCAAGCCGGGCGAACACCGGGATGCTGATAGGGAGACCAAGTTGAAGGCTATGAAGGCCCGAAGCTTCTGTGGAGGCTGTGGGAGAAAAGGGCACTGGCACAAGGACGATGTTTGCCCGCTCAACCGCGGCGGGGACCACGCGAAGGGCGAGGCCAGTGCGAATGTGGCGATGACTACGGTTCTCCCGGCGGACGTCTTTGCGTTGAAGCACGTGCCGAACAGCTTGTTGGGCGTGGCGGACACCGCGTGCGCCAGGACGGTGGCCGGGACGCAATGGCTCCAGTCCTACTCCAACCTTTTGGCTGAGATTGGGACGAGGCCGGTCCTCCAAAAGGAGTGTGAGGCTTACAGGTTCGGCACGGGCAAGGTGCACTACTCCTCGTTCTACGTTGTGGTGACCTTCAGGCTCGGCGGCTACAACATCCAGGTACGGACGTCCATCATCACGGGCGACATTCCGTTGCTCTTGAGCAAGACCGTTTTAGGAAAGCTGGGGATGATCTACGATGTTGAGAATGGGAAGGCGGATTTCAGAGCCATCAATCTCAAGGACTACGCGTTGACGACTACCTCGTCGGGCCACCCGGCAATCCCCATCGTACCGGTCAGTCTCCCAGCTGACAAAATGTCAGACTTGCAGATCGAAGACCTCAGACTGCAGACCGCTGAGCAATACATGTCCGTTTGTGCAGTAGCTCACCAAGGCCCCCAAGTCCCAAAGTACTTCGGTATCTTCTACGAGAAGAAACTGGACCCGAGCACCCGTATCATGCTGAGTGAGGACCGTTTGCAGCGAGATGTGTTTGTTGCATGGTGGGAGAAGGCAAACTTTGATCGAGATTTTTGGGTTGAGACTCCGAACACGTGGGTGAGGGTGCACATGGTTCCAAGGAGGGCACTGTTTAATCCTTCTACCTGGCGTACCGGTTCAACTGTTCAGCGGGACATGCTCACAGCTTCAATCGGCAGTGTGCGTTCTACCGAGGGTGTGTGTTGCAAAAGTGGAAGCTGGCTAGAAGATGTCGTAGATCAGTGGGAGTTTGGCCAAGTCGTGCAACCATCACATCCGTTGCTTTGGGTCGGCAGAACGGTGTTCTACAAGGCACCAGCCCCAGGCCCCGATCTTCGCGCTCCCGATCACGGGCATGGACTCCGAGCGATGCCCGCATTCCTCGGTGCCGGTGAGCCGCGTGACGAAGCCTCAACTACTGGCCGAAGCAGTGCGAGTGGGCGCAACAGTGCACCACTCTTGGACGGTCCCCGAACTCCGTGCCACGATCAGGGACCACGTCGACACCTTCATGGAGAAGTCTGCGAGCCAGAAAATGAAGGGACTCAGTTCGCTGAAGCACGGCGAGCTGGTGGCAAAGGCGAAGGAGATGGGCGTGGATGTGCCGGACCGCGTGACCAAAGGGAACCTACTGAGGTTGGTGCGGACCGCAGTGGGGACTACCGGCGACACCGTGATGACCATAGGACGATGGAAGGGCTGCTTGTACCGGGAGATTCCCCAGTCCTACGCTCAGTGGGCCCTCGAAGAGACAACGCGGTCGGACAATTCGTCCCCAGAGCTGATCATGTTCGCGAGATGGTGGGAGACACAGATGCTTGCGAAGGCGAACAAGACCGAGATCAAGGACGAGGAGAGCGAGTTCGAGGAGACAGCCCAGAACTTCCGGACCTCGACGCCATCGAGGGGATCAGCGAGCGAGAACCCAGTGAACATCCGCCGCACTTCAACGCCATCGAGGGGGTCAGCAAGCGAGAACTCGGTGAACATCCACCGCACTCCAACGTCATCGAGGGGGTCATGGGACGAAGTGAGTCTATCCCACACCAAGGGGTACACGAGTCACGGGGGCAAAGGGAATACCACCCAGAGACCCTTGCCGAGATCCAAGCTTTGGAGACCAAGCTGGCCCTGCTGAAGGACAAGGCGCGGAGCACGAATGTGTGAGCACAGCCGCGGGAACCCGCGGAGGAGGCGCCGGAGATGGATCTTCGTCTACTACGAGGAGTGTGAGGTGTTGTGGTGTAGTGTATGACACAGACTGCATTGCCGAGGACGATGAAAGGGCACTACAACCGGAACACGAATTACAACACGAGCCGCTATGGGGTTGAGAACAAGGACGGGACACCTGGGTGTCCCATGCAGGGCAAACGCCACAACGTTACGCACTACGAGCACAACGAGTCCCAACCGGGATCACGCCAACAACCTCCTCACCCACGCTATGGTGATGAGTCTTTTGATTGGACAGACACCTCTTTTGAGAACTGCCAGAAGATCCTTGAGGAGACACTGGCGGCGTCTGCCACAGGGCCCAAGAGGCCGATCCAACACGGTGAAGGAGACGAGCAAGAGCACGCCTACGTGACCTACGGCATGTTCACTCATGGTGGAGTACATGGCATCACGCGGGCCACCAAGGAGGAGGACGGATTGATCCAGTACCTGAACTACTTCGGGCGACAGCATCTTGGGGAGGAGGCAACTTGGACCTCTATTTCCGTGACCCGAAACATTGCCTGCGACACCCAACAACTTGCAGGGCACCTACAACTACGCTACGAGCTTCGGGCAACGCGCCGGTGGCGATCTTTGGCTGGAGGAGGACGTCGACGAGAACCACGCCAACGACAAGGACATTGTCTGGAAGAAGGACAGGACAGGTTCATGGGTGCCAGGCAAGTACCACAAGACAAAGGATACGTTCGTGACCTTCAATCCATTCCTCCGGCATGCGACCGGAACCTGGAAGGGCACAAGGTGGTGCCTGACGTACCACACCGTCCGGGGCGCGACCGAGGTCGGGCCCGAGATCAAGAAGTTCCTGAAGAACTGTGGTTTCCCTCTTCACAAACGAGGTGGACCCGCGAAGCTCCCAGACAGAGCCAGGCCCAGCAAGAGCCAGAGGAAGGGAATCATGAACGCCGCCGGGAAAGTGAGTGTGCTCATGGCCACGCTTTTGGCAGCATCGGCATCCTTCATGGCCGAGGCACAAGGACCCCCTGTGGAACCCGACCCCATTGTGATGATGGAGATTGGTGGCTACGAAGGCACCATCGAGGCGACCGAGCTCAGCAAGGCGGTCATCGAGCCCATCCTTTGGGAGGACTTCGTGAGCCCCGAGGTGCAGGAGAACGCGTATTGTTTTATCAAGGGGGCGAGCCCTAGAGAACTCAGGATCCACTTACGCGGCATGCCTGAGAGAGCGACCTCTGCAGCTAAAGACTTGGTCAAGAGCCAAATCGAGGACGGCGGCGAGGTCGTACTACGTGGCGGGCGACTACCTGTATGGGCCGAGGAGTTTCGCGATTTTTTGAAGTATGAGTCCTTGGAGGAGGACAACGAATGGTTGGTGCTCGGCAAGCCACGTAGAGACAAAGTGAGGATGAGAGGTAACGAGCGACCTCATGAAGTTTGTATGGTCAGCGGCCCCACCAAGGAGGACCAAGAGGAGATCAAGTACGACGGCACCGGGATCACGTTTGAGAGCGGGGTGCCGAGCATTATCCAAGGTTCTCTACGGCGCCTACATCAAAACTTGGGCCATCCCCGACCAGAGGATCTGTGCTGCCATCTACGGTTGGCGGGCTGCGACCAGGCCGTGATCAAAGCCGCAAAGGGAATGAAGTGCGATGTGTGCCACTCTACGAAGCACGCCCAGGCGTCGAGACCCACGACTTTGCCGAGACTCCTCGACTTCAACTCTTGTGTTGGGGTCGACATCTTCTACGCGCACGACGCCCTGGATGAGAAGCACGCGTTCCTCACTATAGTGGACTGGGCCACGACCTATCAGGCGGTGGCCAGGCTAGAGCGCGAGGACGGCCCCGCGGTTGAGAAAGCTTTCAACACCTGTTGGCTCACGCCTTTTGGGCCCCCTGCTTCCGTCTCTCTTGACCTGGACGGGAAGGTGCAGGCCGGCCTAGCGAGGATCTGCGATTGGCACAACATCCGTGTCAAAGACGTTGCAGCACAGGCCAAGTGGCAAGGTGGTGTGACAGAGAGACAGATTGGTTGGTTCAAAGGTATATGGGAAAGAGTGGTCAAAGAGCGCGACGTCACCGCCGAGGAAACCGAGCTGGCCGGAACATTGGTTTGTGCAGCCAAAAATGATCTTCGTCGGCGCTGCGGACACAGTCCCACGCAGTGGGTCCTGGGGCGCTCCCCCAAGATCCCGGAAGAACTGTGCGACGTCGACACCGGTGGCACCGTCACGTGGGACTTGACCGAGGACTCGAAGTTCCAAAGGGCGGCAGCCCTGCGAGCAAGTGCTCGCATCGCCTTCCACCAGGCCCAAGGAGATGAGCGTCTACGACGAGGCCTATTACACCGAGCAAGGACAGCGAGGGCATCATACGACGTCGGGGACCCGGTGCATTTTTGGAATCAGCCAAAAGACAGAAGGAGACCCCACTGGGTTGGACCAGCAGTGGTGGTGGGGAGACAGGGAGGAAACTTTTGGGTTTCCAAGAACGGACGGTGTCGGTTGACTGCCCCCGAACACCTACGTGCATCTGGGCCGGATGAGGTCGGAGAGTACCTCACCATGCGTGGCGTAAAGGAGGAGGTCAACAAGTTGCTCGAGATGGACCTCGACGACCCCGAGACCTACATGGACGTGGACGATGCGGAGGAGGACAGAGACAAAGACGGGACCATCGGCGACGACTACCGTGCGGCCCTCAAGCGAAAAGAGGACGGCGAGGACCACCATTCCGACTACTCGCCCGACCTGGACGAACCGCTCACCCTCGATGCCGAAGGCGACCACGAGATGGAGGAGCCCCACGGCGAGACCCTCGAGCACGTACTTCCTCTACGGCGACTACGAAAGAAGACACGAGGGCCTAAGCTCCCGGGCGACGTGATGCTCACCCGGAAGGCGCTCACCCATCGCGGACAAGCCAAGCGACAGGAAAAAGAACTGCGTTGGGATGAGATACCTCAGCATGCTCGGCCTCTTTTCAAGGAGGCTGAAAAGGTGCAATGGCAAGAGCATCTGTCTTACGACGCTCTTGAGCCGCTTGATGCTACAAGGTCCCAGTGGGTTCGCGACAACGTCCCGGCCGCCAGGGTATTGCCCTGCCGGTGGGCATATCGCGATAAAAACTGGGCGGCCCGCAAGAGTGCTGAGCACGAGACCGGGAAGGACGAGCCAGCCTGGAGATGCAAGAGCCGCCTCGTTATCGGAGGCCACAGGGACCCAGACTTGGGGGTCCAGGATCTCAACACGGATGCTCCCACGTTGTCGCGGGCCGAGCTGGCATGCTTGATGCAGTTATTGGCCAACGGGCTGAACGAGGAGGACGCTTGGTCTGTCGCTGCGGGCGACATACAGTGCGCCTTCCTGACGGGCGGCTACCTGGCAAGAGGTGAAGATTTGTATCTTCACCAACCAGCAACAGGCTTCCCCGGGCTAGTCCCGGGACAACTCGTCAAGATCAAGAAGAACATCTTCGGCCTGGCGACGTCCCCCCACGAGTGGTGGCTGGACCTTCAGAATGGCATCCTGAAGGTCCGGATCCAGTACCAGGAGGACACCTACGCCTTCGACCAGTGCCCCTTGGATCCGTGCATCTTCATGCTCCGGAAGTACAAGGACGGGAAGTACCACGGGAAGCCGATCGGGTATGTCGGCAGCCACGTCGACGACCTACTTGTGATCGCGGCCAAGACGGTGAATAAGCTCATCCAGGCCGGACTTTCGGGAGTTTTTCCCATTGATAAGTGGGAGGAGGGACACCTGGACTACGTCGGGACCGAGATTGTGTGCGACACGAACGAGGTGAAGGTCTCGCAAGGCAAGTACACCTCCACCCGGCTTTTCACCCTGGACATTTCCAAGGGTTGCGACGAGGAGGACTACGCAGGCCCCGAGCTGGTAGCCGACAACCAGTCACTGGTGGGAGCCTTGTCTTGGCTCTCCTCACAAACCAGACCCGACCTCACCTGCTCTGTGAGCCTGGCACAACAGCTTCAACGACGGCCCACCATCGCGGACCTGAAGTTCACGAACCAGGTTTCGAGCAGAGCAACGGCCTACAAAGACGAGGGACTACGCTTTCGGCCTCTTCCTCCCGACTTCGGCATCATCGTCTACCACGACGCCGCATGGGCAAATGCCCTCGACGACGAGTTCGAGGAGGAGTTCTTCAAGCTCACCGAGGAGGATAAGGAGGCCGGGCTGATGAGAGAGGGGCCGTTCGGCTCCAAGAAAGAGCGGAAAGCGAAGAGGCAGAACTCAAAGGTGGCATCACAAGTCGGCGCCCTCATCCTCTTCGCCGACTTTGCCTCCGTGAAGGGCGGGGTCGGAAACTTCTCCATAGGAGACTGGCGATCGCGAGCCGGGCAAAGAGTGTGCAGATCTACCTTTGGCGCGGAGACCCAGGCGGCAGTGGAAGGTTTGGAAGGAGCACAGTACATGCGCTCCTTCATCGAGACGTTGATCGAAGGGGAGCTGGTGACTGTGGAGAGGGCCAAGGCCCCCTTGCTATGCCGCAGTGATTGCCGGTCATTATTTGACCACGTCCACAAACAGGGCGTGCCGCGTGTACCAACAGACAGAAGGTTAGCGATAGACCTTGCAGCCTTGAGGCAAAGCCTCAAGAGAGAGCAGTGGGCAAACAAGTTGCCCGTAGGCTGGGTGCCTACCAACCTCCAGTTGGCAGATGTGCTTACGAAACCCGGGGACCCCGGGGAGTGGTGGCTTTTTCAGAAGGCACGACTTTCAGTGCCGATCGATCTCTCAGAGGGGAGTCGAGTCAACATTTCTTTTGGGGAGAAGAGAACCAGTGTGGAGCACAAAGATGTGATTAGTGATGATCGCACCTCTAGCACTTTTGGCAATCGTCGTACTGCTGTGCATTTCGAGAAAGCTCCACCTGTGTTCCTCTGATCCCGGCCAGGCAACGAAGTCTACCGAAGGCATTGTGGATCGTCAAGGA